TCCCGGGGCCTGGCCCCGCAGGCCTGTTTAGGACACAGGCGATAGATGATGATTCCAGCCAGGAGGTCCCCCTTGGGGTCCTGCCAGCACTCTCAGAGGGTCCTTGCCGGCCCCTCACCCCCTGAGCCCCAGTCCCCCCCCACCCCAGAGCCTATGTGTCCCTCTTCATGCGGCACCTGTGTGAGCCGGGGGCGGACGGCGCAGAGACCTTTGCAGACGGCGTGCCTCGGGAGGGCCTGTCCAGGCAGCACGTGCTCACGCGCATTGGGGTCATGTCACTAGTTAGGAAGAAGGTGGGTGAGTAAGCCTCTGCGGGGCCCTTCCTGGCGGCCACCCAGGGCCCTGGCGCTGCCCCTGGGGGTTCAGCAGAGAGAGGGCAAGGGCCTGGCTCAGGTCACACAGCTGCCCAGGGTCTGAGCCAGGCCAGAGGGACTGACCTGGAAAGCCTTCTGGGCGAGGGGGTTGGGGGCGATGTGGAGGCCAGGATGGCAGATCCCAGGATGGAGGACTCACAGGGAGACAATCAGGGGAACTGGCAGGGGAGTTTGTGGTCAGGAGTGCATCTGGCTTGGCCCAACTTGGGTGGAGGCATCAGCCACCCCAAGCCTGTGACACCCCCAGCCCCACTGGCCACCCTGAGACCTTTAGGGCTGAGCTGCAAGCACGGCCCTCCCTCCCTCCCGCCACCTCAGGTTCAGGAGTTCGAGCACGTCAATGGGAAGCACAGCACCCCGGACTTGATTCCTGAGGCGCACGAGGGCAAGAAGCCGGGCGAGGTCATCTCCTCGGACCCCAACACTCCGGTGCCCGCCAGCCCCGCCCACCTCCCGCCAGCCCCGCTGGGCCTGTCAGGTAGGGGTCCAGGCAAGTGGGGAGGGCACCTGGGTCATGGGAGGTGGCAAGGCCACAGTAACCCCGAGTCCTTGCAACCCACAAAACATGGCCTCTCTTCACCCCTAAAATTCTGTCTGCTGAAGTGTTGTTCTTTCAATAGTTTTTCTTTCAAGTAACAGTTTTGAGATAGAATTAATATACATACTGTAAAAGTCACTCGTTTAAACTGTGCTGTTTGGCAGTTTCTAGAATCTTCACAGGGCTGTGCAACCATTGCTGCTATCTAGTGCTGAGGCATGTTCATCACTCTGGAAAGAAACCCTGTCCCATTAGCCGTCCCTGTTTCTCCCTCTTGCCAGCCCTAGACAGCCTCTAACCTGCTTCCTGTCCCTACGGATTTTCCTATTCCAGACATTTCATGTACTGTAACTGGAATCATACGCTATGTGTCTCTCATGTCTGGCTTCTGTCGCTGAGCCTAATGTTTCGTGGTTCAGCCACACTGTAGCGTGTGTCACTTTTTCCTTACTCCTTACGGCTGGATAACATTTCATTGTATGGATTTTCCACATTTTGTTTATCCGTTTTCCTGTTGATGGATTTTGGTTTGTTTCTGCTTTTTGGCTATTGTGAATACTGCTGCTAGGAACATTCGTGTTTTAAGTTTTTGTGTAGACAGAGGCATTCGGATCTCTTGAGTATGTACCTAGGAATGGAATTGCTGGGTCATATGATAACTGTTTCACCTTTTGAGGAATTACCAGGCTGTTTTCCAAAACGGCCGCACCATTTAACACCCCTGTGTGAGGCTTCTGGTTTCTCCAAATCCTCATCAGTGCTTGCTGTCTGACTTGTTGATTCTAGCCTTTGCAGTGAGTGTGACATGGGAGCTCACTGTGGTTTTGGTTTGCATTTCCCTGATGCTGAAGATATTTCGGGTGCTTACTGGCTGTATGTCTTCTTTTTTTTTTTTTTTTTTTTTTTTTTTTTTTGGG